AAGCCAGTGACTGGTGACCCTGTGGCAGGGGACATTTGGACACAGACGCACACTTGGTTGCCGTGGGAAGTTGAGGACGGAGACCCGGATGACGCCTCCACAGACCGAGGGACACCAGAGATGCCCAGTCGACCACCATGCCAGGCAGGCGGGGGGACGGACCCTCCCTCTTCACCTCTGACAGCCACCCACTGGTGATCCTGGCTGAGCGCTGCAGGTTGGAGGGGGGACGTCTGCTGGGATCGAACTGGGGGGCTCAGGAGCCACATGGCCTGCCCTGGTCACGGGGTTACACAGCGGGCCCACAGCATACCTGCCGATGGAACTGGAGGAAACCTAATAGTGCCTGTCCTCTGAGGACAGTTCCCTGCCAGTCCCCCAGTGTCCCACAGCTCGACTCTGACTATAAGCACCCAGAGTTCGTGCAGACCCCACTAACAGGTAATGCAGACCCCACAGGGAAAGTAGCGTGTCCAAACAAAAGTGTGTCCACATCAGACACCAGCAGAAAGTGGGGTCCCCAGCCCATCCTCCCCTCTGTCTGACTTGGCTATGAATATGAGCGTCTCATAACCTCCCTGGAGGCTTGGTGATTTGTGACAATGACTCCCAGAACCCCGGAGAGCGCTGTACGTAAGGTTATAGTTTTATCATAGAGGGCACAACTCAGGAAAAGCCAAACGGGAGAGAAGGGGAGGGTGAGTTCTGGAAGGGTCCCGAGCGCCCCGGCCTCTGTCCACATAGAGTTGGGTGCCCCTCCCACCTGGGGCATCGGGCAGACCCCCAGCCCCACTGTTGGAGTTTCTATCGGTGCCAGGACGTAGGCAGGAAGGACTGAATGACCGGCCCTGTGACCGGACCTCCCCTCCCTTCCTGCGGGCTTCAGCCCTCTGAGCTGTGGTGGTTTTCCGGTGGGCCAGGCACTCCCCGGAAACTCAGGGCCCACCCCGAGCTCAGGAAATTCACACGGAAGCAGGGACAGAGGCCAGACAGTCTTTGTTATCACAAGGCCCACCCTTGCCAGCACACTGCCTGGCTAGCCGGCCCTCACGGCGGCAGAGCGTGACCCCGAGCGGTCTCTGGTTACAGGCAATGGTGGTACAGCAGAAATGCAGGGGGGAGGACGGGAGGGCAGGGAGGACAGAGAGATGGTCTAAGCAAACCCCCTTTGAGGAGGGCGCCGCAGGCCGGCCATCGGCAGGGAGCCCTGGTGGTGGTCGCGGCATGAGCAGATCCGAGCAGATCCGGTCCTGCGGGAGGCTGGCCAGGGCTGCCAGGACACCTCTGCCTCTGGCCCGGAGGTCACCCTGCCTGTCGCCAGGCTAGGGGAGGGCGGTGTCACCTGCCAAGTGGGGCAGGGGGGCCAGAGGCCACTGCTTTTGGCTGTTCCTGCCGAACGATTTAAGAGCAAGTTGGAGGGAGATGCAGGAGGCCTGCTTAGCGATTTCTAGGAACGGCGACGTTGGGAGGCGGAGCTAGTGAGTCGGTGGCGGAATCGAGACTGACCGTTTCGGCAGGACGGAGTGAGCAGGAGCCCGTCTGCATCCCGGGACGGCGGTCCTGGAGGCATTTCAAGATCGTCTCATCCAAACCACGTGTTTCACCAAAACCAGGTCCACACAGCTTCCATAGTTTGCCCAAGATTTCGCAGCACGCTGTCCCCGGGGGGCTCAGCCGCACACTGAGGGCCACATAGCCACGTGTGGTTTCTTCTCTGGAACCAGGTGCCCGCTCACCCCAGGGTTTCTTCACACGAGATGGAATCACTCGTCATAGCTTGAGTCATCCCTTATCTCTTCCCCTCTTGTGCTCTGCCTTGGAGCAGTGGTTTCAGAGAACGGCTTCCATTTCTGTGCAGACTCTCAGCTGATGGTGTTCAGAGGGGAGGAGGAGGGGGGAGGAGGGAGAAGGGAAGGGAAGAGGCAGAGAGGGAAGGAGTGGGGAAGAGGCCAGGATGATGGGTGGGGGGGGAGGGGAAGAGGGAGGGAGCAGGGAGGGATGGAGGGAAGGAGGGGGAGGAGGGATGCCCCAGAAGCCCTGAGAAACACACCCCCTCGTAAGCACCTGTCGTGAGAACCGTGCCCGTGCGGTGCTGGGAACCTCTCCACCTCTCTCCCCTCCTCTCCACGGGAAGATTCAGGAGGTGGGAAGGGGCGTGTCTGCATGTCTGCGAGGTGACCTGTGGGGGCTGGCGGATGTGCCAAGTCCCGCGCCCGAGTTCCCTCCGCCTCTAGATAAACTAATTAGCATTTGTTGCCCGAAAATGGAAACGAGCAGCCGGATGTGTCCAGAATCCAGTCGCACTGAGTGTGAATCTAGTGACTTTTCCCAGATCACCTGCTGCCCTGTGCGCATGGGCAAAATGAGAAAACCCCGTGCTCGACCTCGCACCCCATGCGCACCTGCCCACGTGCCATCCGCGGTTCGGCGGGACGAGCTCAGCAGTGGTCACAGGGCTGAGGTGAGGGGCCGAGTGTCCTGGCAGCCCCTCCGTGCCAGGTGGGGAGCAGCCACCATAACGTCTCCCGAGGATGGGACACGGGAGCCAAGGAACATGCTGTCCCCAGGATAAAGGGAACCCAGCACTGTGGCCCAGACTTCGGAATCCCTGCTCTGGGGGAAAGGCTAGACGTGACCAAGCCCTTTTCAATTTACCCATGTGGCCCCAGAGATCTCCCCAAGCAGGTGCCAGCCTGGCGAGGCATCGAACTATTTCCAGGTGAGAGGCCATCCCCCCACCGAGCCGGCGAGGCGGGTGGGTACGGCAGCCATGCCCTTGAGGACACGCCTCTCCTCCTTGGTACTTGGGGATGGAGCTAGCTTTATTCCAAGTATTAGAATGTGCTTTTTGTTAAAAGTACCAAACTCATTCAGCCATGAGAATATTAAAAGTATATTTAGCAAGTTTGCATTTACTTCTGACCAATTCTAATTGAACTGTGAGCTTGCCGTTCTGGAAGGCGTCCAGCAGCTCTTAGCAAGATGCCGTGTGGAACGAGCTCTAATACGTGATCATCGCTGAGCTCGGAGCTCCTATGAATCTTATTTCAAGTCCCAACAATACGGGTCTTATTTCCACACTTCTATTTTTACCTAATGAAAATTTATTACAAAGAAATCCTAATTACACCCTCTGGAAAAGGACACAGTTGCAAACCCACTGATTTTCTTTTTTGAAAATCCGCATAATCACGTAGGAAGCCAAGAATGTGCATTCTCCTGAAATCGTTGGTCTGTAAATAAGATTCCCGACGTTTCTGTTGTTTTTTCTCTGCACATTTTGCACTGGGGGGGTTTGTCCACACTCCACCCCTGGTGAGTGCTCGAGGACGTTGCATGTCTCAGCACACCCTGAAGTTGCCAACGGGCAGATTCCCATGGGGTCCTGGATGGACAGTGATGGCGAGAGCGGGCAGCAAGAGGCAGGGAACAGCGTGGTCAAGGGACAGGATGACCTTGGACGGGCCTTGACCTTGAACGGATCTGCCTCCTCCGCCCCCAACGCACGGATTGCGAGGACTGGCTGGATAATCGCGGGCGTCTGTGCGGGGCATCACAGGGCGTTCAGCCGCATCTCTGGTCTCTGTCTCTCCACGTCCCCGTAGCCATCAGACGTCCCCCGGGATTACAGTCACCCCAGGCGAGGGCACTGTTCTGTCCCTAGGTCAGGAAGCCTGATGTGTGTGGCCTGAGTGCCTCCTGCCCACTGATTCCCGGGGTGAAGATTTGCAGAGAAGTGGGGACGTGCCATCCCCTTTGATGCGTGTCCTCTGCTCTTTCTATACCCCAAGAGCGTGGGGCGCTGGCGGGCGTGCAGGGGCCACACGTCCCGGTGCCTGGCAGGGGATCTCAGCAGCCTCGCCTGACCGTAGTCCTGTCGGAGAGGGAACGGTCTCTAAAACTGTCAGTCTAGGGACAGACTAGATTTGTCCCCCCTCGTTGCTGGGGTCACTGGCCGTGGGACTCGGTTATGGGGACATGCGGGGCAGGACTGGGCAGGGAGGAGACTCTGCAGAGGGGTCCATGGGGTCAGAGCAAAGGCTCACCAGGCCAGTGTAGGTAGACTCTGCGGCTCAGGCTGAGCACAGGCCGTGACAAGGGGACCGGAGCTGCGGCGGGACCAGCTGCTCCCATGCGGGCCAGGTCAGGAGGAGGAGGGCATTATGGGAGTACCTGTGTCTGCAGGGTCTGGGTGTCCCCTAGCAGTAGACGGTGAGATGTTTTGGGAGGAGGTCCCCAGTGCCGCAGGGATAAGGTGCAGAACAGAGAGCGAGCTACGGGACGGGCAGCAGAGAACAGAAGGCAGGACGCAGAGCTGGTGCTTAGTAAGGCCGCGCTCCTTCCTTCCTCGCCAGCTGTCAGCCTGCTGCCCGCAGGCCCCGGCTCCTGCCTGCTCTCGGTGCTGCCCCGCCGTGTCTGGGCCGTGGTCACGGCCGCCCCCGGGCCTAGGGAGGAACAGTCCAGGGGAACCGCTTTGCACCTTTCCCTGTGCAGACGGCCTGTGCGGGGTCCTGGTCCCCGCCGCTGTCACTGACATCCCCTGGCTGGGTTCTACTCCAGGGTAGCGTTTCATACCCAGAGAGTCGATGGCATAGTCTGTGATCGTCTTTCTGCGTTTGTCCAAAACGAAGGCCTCCCTGAAGCAAAGAACAGCAGGAACAGAGCGGGACGGGAGCTCCAGCGATTTGCTCTGACGGAGAGCCTCACCCCTTCCTGTCCTGGACGCCAGGTCCAGGCAGTGAAGCGTGACTCCAGGCTGCCTTCCTGGTGGCTCCGCTCGGCCCTCGCATGCCCCTGCCATGACCTTGGCTCCCTGCTGGTGCCTGTGGGGGGGTTACGGCTGCGCCCCAAATGCAAAAATGCCGTCTGCGTCCAAGAGCGAAATCTGCCCCCTCTGCGGGCTGCTGGCACCTGGCTGTCCGTGGTTCTCAAGTGTTCCCTGGGAGCTGCAGACGGGCCCCCAGGGGCACGCTTACCTCTCTGTGTCTTGTGCCCTAAAGGACAGAAGGCCATGGGAGTCCTGGGCCGGAGGAGGCAGAAGGACAGGACAAGGGTGCCGAGACGCCGCCGCCCCAGATCCTCCTGCCACTGGAGGAGCGGGTGACCCACTTCCGAGACATGCTGCTGGAGCGAGGGGTAAGGACCTGCGTGCAGATGATGGCTGTCCCCGAAGCCAGTCACTGAGTAACTGTTCCCTGGGTTCATGGAGTCGGGCTGAGTGGCATTCAGGGGTCAAAGCACATGAAAAGGAGGCCCTGCTCCTTGTCCTGCCAAGTGGGGGGTGTTGCCAGGCGGTCACCCCAGGGGCACACACAGGAGGGGCAGGCGAGAGGGGATGGTCAGCGGACTGCGTGCAGAAACGCCCTGTGGCAAGGAGCTTCCTGCTGGAGCCCAGCAGCTCTCAGGGTCCACACCTCGCAGAGGGGCGTCCCCGGGCCTCGCCTTCATCCAGTGACGGCCTCCGCACCTGGAGACCAGGGCGACTCGTTAATGGAATCAGGATTTCAGGATTAGAGTTGACTTCCGCATCTCAGTTCGAATTTTGGGGAAGAACATTTTAGGATCAAATCCCCTCCAGTGACACTGCTTTCCAGCTTTGGCTTTTGGGTATAGATGGGTCTGCTCTAACCGCCCGGCTGAATTTCTTCACAAAATGAGGCTGAACGCATGGGCCTTAGGGGGAGCCCGCGTGCGGCGGCAATGATCGCTGACACGACAGTGGCCTTGGGAACGCGAGCAAATCCCCTCTGTGGTGAGCAGCCACCCCCAGACTGCCTGGGCGGGCTGGTCCCAGCAGCAGGCGCCATGGGCGCTGAGGCCAGAGGTCAGGACAGCCGCACTCCCCCCAGAGCTGGGGTTCGATCAGAGATCCCCAGAGTTAGGCTGGCGGGAGGCCCTGGGGGTTTAGGGAGACCGGATGGTCTCAGCTCTGGGGTATCACCCGTAGGAGGGAGGCCGTCCCGCCACGGGGAGCTCTCTTCCCGTGCCCGCGAGTGTTAATATGCACGTCACTCCAGCTTGTTACTCAAAAATGAAATCCAGTCCTCGGCCACGAGGGACGGAAAGGGACTCAGAACCGCAGCCTGTGAAGCCTAGATGAGCGTCGGTGCCAGGTGAGGCGGAGGTGCAGAAGGATCCCATGCGGGCCGGTCTGTAAGCCCGAGGACATGCTCATGGCCCCGGGCCAGGGCTGACCCTGGAGTGGGCCCACGGAGCCCGCGCCGCGGGGGCTGGTCTGCGGAGCACCTGCCGTCCCCTCTTCCTGTTGCCACACTCACGTTGCCCCCAGCAGCACAGGCCAGGTCTGCGGCCTTGCCCTTGAGAAGCGATACGGCGTCTCTTCTTCCACAGAAGCGCCCAAAGAGGCTGCCTCTGTCCTGGAGAGCCACTGGCATGTTTGCTCCCAGGCTTTGCCTGGGCCCTCGGTAGGCGTTGATGGACACGCAGGTGGTCCCCCGCCCTTGTGTGCGGAAACACATGTAATTCTGGGCGCTTGAATTGGCCGGGCCGGTCTGTGCAGAGTAGTCCACTGCAGGAGACACGGTGGCTCTCAGAGCCTTTGAGAAGCACAGCAGACCTTCGCTTCACCCTCGGGACGCCGGCACTGCCCGTCTCTGCACTTGGGAAACCAGCCAGCGCCCGCGCGCCAGCACAGCCTCAAACGAACCTCACGGGAGCTCAGGGCTGCCTGAGACGCCCACCTTGCCTCCCCGAGGCTGCCGGCAAGCCAGCTCGACGAGGCTGCTTGAATTTATCCCCGTGGCCTCGGTTGAGCAGTTTCCATGATGAGATTTCCACCGCGTTCTTGCCTCGTTGCAATGGGTGGTTCTCTTGGATTCTTAGACCTTCTCTGTGAGACTCTTACATGAATGAAAATCAGCAAAAACAACGCAGAAATATGCAGCGCCGCCCAGGGTTCTGAGTCCCCCCGGGAAGCAGAGTCTGGGGGTGACAGCTGAGCCCGTATTTTTGGAGGATTTCAGAGGAAGCCCACACACAGTTCATGAATAGAAAAGATCAATTTGAATTTACTGCTGATGTCCTAAAGCAATGCGGCCATTTATGACTTTTTGACTTTATAAAATATGCCAGCAGATTTTATAAGTTATTCATGCTCAAGAGCATTTGATAGCTGAGCCCATAAGATTTCTAGTTGCTTAAAATTGAGGCACAGAAAGGTCACTTTTTTCATGGACTGAGTGATTAATAAGGTTTTTATTGCATTTGTTCAGCGCTCGCGTCCAGAAATCCGTGCACTCGTGAGCGACAGAGCCGGCTCCCTTGGGCTCCCAGTCGCAGAGGAAGGCCGTGGTTCGGGTGTTCTGTGGGGATGATGGACTGGGAAGGGGCTTTCAGGTCCGTGGTTTTGGAGCAACTATCTGATGGCTCAAGGAAGGTTTTATTTTTATTTTGTTTTACTCTACGAACCACAATAGAGTCTTTTTTATTTTAAAACAAAAAACAAAAGTGTCAGCCTGTGAAGGAGCAGGCTTCATTGAACAGAAGATGATTCATGAGATCCAGCCTATTTCGATAAATGTATTAGGAACATTAGGAACATGTGATTGAGAACTTGTTCCTCTGCCTCGTGTCCCTCAGGAGCGGGGGTGGCTTTCCCAGGGCCGGGAGATGAAGACTGTGGGAGAGCCCTGGATCTTGTTCCAGGGACTCTGAGCCCTGCACCTGCTGTCTGTCTGGGGTCCTTCTGTGGGGCACCCTTGGCCAGCTTCCCCAGAGTGGGTGGCCTGGGGCAGGCTGGCTCTCCCTGTAGCTGTCTACACAGGTGAGCCTCCGGAAGGTTGGACCCGAGTCCATTAGAAAGAGGAACTCACGGGCCGCACAGGCATGCCTGCCAGACCATCCAGTCCCTCTCTGCACAGACGGTGTCCATCATGAGGCCGTTGGTAGAAAGAAACGGTATCAGGTGTCTTCCTGCCAGCAGGGCAGTGGGGGAGGGCTTCTCCCCACAGCTAGACGGCCACCCCTGTCCCTGACTTCTGAGGCCCTTCCCACAGACACACAGGTGGCTTTGCCTCTCCAGAGCCATAGCAGGCACTTGGGCCCGGGCATGCGCTGAAGGGTTCCACGGTCCTCCTGCGCCAGCATCCCGTCATGCCCCTGGAGGTGAGGCCAGCGCACCTGCCGTCTGCTCCAAGCGGTGACTCATGCTTCTCGGGGAGCTGAGCGGCCCCGTGTTCTATGGCAACTCTTCAGATCTCTCAGTCACATGGGAGCCCTCGGATAACAGGCAAGGGCGCTGGGCACGTCGTCTGTACAGTGAAAGAGAATTGGCCAAAAAAAAAGTCTCAGTGGGAAAAAAAAGTCCCTCCAAATCCCATCCAAAGAGAATTATTTTCATCAACAAGGTCCGTTTCTTTCCAGTCTTTCTAATAATAAACTTTAAGATGCCAATAATAAATATTTTTGTCTTATAGTATAAGCAGGACTGAATGTAATGGAACGTGGCTCGACCAGATACTTTGTTTAACACAGGCCTGTGAGGCTCAGCTGACGTATAAATTTGGATGCTGTTTTCTCTTAGTATCAACCTTCAGAAAACATTTTGGATGAGATCGTGATATTCAATTCATTGTCCAAAAATCCTGCATTTTCATTCAGAGCTTGTGTTCTCCAAATTTGCTATTTTGAGCAACACCCCGAGTGAGCTCCTTGGCGCGTGAGCTCCGTGTGTGTAGGAGTGTTTCTTGCGGGCGTCAACGCTGGGCCGCTCTCACCAAATTGCTGGGAGGAAGGTCATTTTCAGGCATTGTGCTCGTCCAGCGGCCCGGTGTGAGTCCCGAGAGTGTGTTTTGCCCGCACACCCCGCCTGACGAGGAAGAACTGTAAATATTTATCATTTTTGAACCACGTTGCTCCTTTCCTGGTGCTTCTGTTTCGTCTCGGCTCCGCTGCCGTGGTTCTTCTCTCCCGAGCCGACTGCCATGGCCCGTGGCGAACCGGATCTTCAGATACGAGTTCGGTGGTGGTGAGATGGTGTTCTAATCACGGAGATGCCCTTGGGGAGGACCGTGGGCCACCCACTCTCATTGCCAGGATGGGATTCTGTCGATGCCTAATGTGGAAACAACCCTCAAACGTAAATTAAATCAACAGAGAATGCTGGTGGGATGACAGCATGAAATCCCACGTATCTATCACAGCAGAAGAGGCTGAAGTTGGTAAAATCCCACGAGCGTCACCACGGAGGGTGAGCAAGGACCACCCCTCACTGTCCTCGGTGAGGACGGACTGAGGGGATGGGTCCTGAGCGCTGTTGAGGATAGTGTGGGAGGGCGAGCCGGACCAGCTGGCTGGCAGAGCCCAACAGACTCTGAAACACGGGGCCCACGTCTCCAGCCTCTGGTCCTGGATGCAGAGGTGGGTGCCTGAGGCCGACGGAGGTTGCTGAACCTTCTTCAGGGGCCACTGGGTCTCAGGCGTGGTTATCAAGCACCACGTCCACCCGTACCCATGACCTCAGTGCCCCTCAGAGCACTTGGACCTGCTCCCCACCTCCTTATCTCCAGGGGAGGGAGGCCTGCTGTGGCCCTGGACGGAGGCATTAGTCAATGTCCCTGAGGCGGGGCCCTGGAGGTGGCCAAGTGTGGGACCCTGCCAGTGGCCAGGGCCCGAGGGCATGTCCCCGATGCCCAGCCTGGCCCCCTCCTCGGGCAGCGGCAAGCACAGGCTGCCACCCACACCTGTGAGAGGCCTCATTCATCCATTCTTCTCGTTTGGAGCGTCGTGGAAGGGAGCGTCATTTGGGCACGCACTCATGTCTCTGCGCGGAGATGGCCCGCAGGACCGTCCTGTGGCCCCTGGGTGGACGCAGCCTGAAGGCAGGAGCATGCTGGCCACACTGTGTAGCTGCAGTGCCCGCGTCCCCGAGGCCAGAGCTCCTGTCGCAGAGCTGCGAGCATGCTTGTGAGATATTGCTGCTGTCTGCGGGGCAGGGAGGCCTTGGAGACCAGACAGAGAAGCCACGTGATGGACAGTCCACGCTCGGGATTCCGTGGCACTGCTGATAATACAGAGCAAGGAGCACCGAAACACAGTGTGTCCAAGGGTCAAGTTTGGGCAAAAACCTCAGCTTCTGAAGTACGTGCATTCATGTTTGAGCTGGAGATGAGCCCCCCAGAAACCCCGAGTTCCCCCAGTGGCGTTCCTGAGCCCGGACTGCAGCCGCTGAGGGTGGGACCCTGGCAGAGCCAGTGGGAGGCAACAAGCACGGTGCTGACAATAGACGGGTGGACAGACAGACTTGGGCAGCTCTGCAGCCCTGCCTGGCTCGCCGGCAGCCCTGGTGCTCCCTGACTGTGCCCCAGGACACCATGCTCTGCTCACTGGCAGGTAGGACCATCCCCTGCCACCTTCCTCCCTTCCCTGCCCCTCGGCCCCCGGCTCTTCCGTGAGCTGGGCATTGACGGATGCTCAGAGTGGCCTTTGGCTTTGGAGATGAAAGCAGGGCCCACCTCTTCCTTCGGGGCACCCTGCCCATGGGGGCCTCAGGCTGTGACGACCTCCCTGCGCCCGCGCTCCTCTCACGTTCCGGCCAGAACCCGATAGGAGACCCTTTTCCTCAGTCTTCAGAGAGGCTTTGGGGAAGCGGGGGCTGTGGTCAGAACCAGTTTTATCTGGAGGTTTTTCTTCTCTGCACGAGACCACGGTCAGCTTCAGCCCGCTCTGGCGGAGGGTCAGCCTCTCCTGTGCCCGGCGGGTAGGGGGACAGCCGCCGAGCACGGGGCACCCCCCGGGGGGCTCTGCCACCTGGGATGGGTGGTCAGGGGAGCTCAGAGCTCAGCCAGTCAGGGCTCCCCCCACTGAAGCGGGGAGGGCGGCTGGGAGGCCACGGGGGCCTGGTGACCGGCCGGCCAGTCTGGGGGCTCAGGAAATGGAGCACTTGGGAAGGCAGGGCCATGGAGCCGCGCAGTGACACGTCCGGTCAGTGCCCTTGATGCTGCCAGGTGGGCGGGGATGCCCCAGGCTGGACGAAATGAAGGAGGTGCCCGAATGCCGGGGAGAGGCTGGCGGCAGCCCCAGGATAGCGTCCCGGGAGCACTCTAGGCGGCCAGCCCCCCAGAGCTGCTGAGTCTCCCGGTGGCCGGCTCGCCGAGCTGCTCAGACTAGTCCGTGATCGCGGGTGACAGGAGCTGATCGCGGGCTCACGGAGCCAGCCCCGCAGGGGAGACAGACCGGGCACGGGACCCAGCCGGTCTCAGAGGAGCCGCGGCGCTCTGCAGGAAACGGCGTGAATTTGGCTGAGGAATTCCACCTTTCAAGGACACGAGCACGTGGGAGCCCCGGAGTCCCAGAGGAGCCGGCGAGATGAAGAGAGAGGTAGACGCGTGCTTAGTCCTGGGACCTGGCGAGGGGCGAGGTCCTCAGGCAGCCCCAAGATGTCCACCCCCAGGGTGCACCCCGGGATCATCCCCTCCCTTGAGAAGGGGTAGGTCAGTGAATAGGATGGTGGGGTTTGGGACAGAACATTCTCTAAGACTCGGACGTCCATGCAGACTCTCCTGCCAGCTGTGGGGAAGTCAGCCACACTGGCATGGAGGGGCTGTGGCAGGGAGCACTGGTGGCCATGAGGCTGAAGAGGGCTCCTGATGGCTCAGCAGGAGACGGGCAGCCTCCAGCCCTGCCCCGTGGGGTGAGCTTCCCAACCAAGACATGACCCTGGGGACACGGGAGGCCCAGGTCCAGGGAGTCAGGCTTTCCTCAAAATCGATTCTCACGGTCCGTCCCACCTGCGGTTATCAGGAGCGAGTCCTCTGGGAACAGCTGGGCCTCACGGACGAAGCCCAAGGGGGCCCCCGTCACACGCATGGCTGTGAAGGTCCCCTTCTGCTGTGATGCCCAGCCCTGGGCCCCCCGCCTGGCTGCGCCTCTGTCCACCGCAGCCACTGTTCCCCGAACTTGAGTGGCACCTGCTGGCCTGGCCCCCAGAGGGTAGGACAATACCTGTTCTGTCATTGTAAATGACAGTCCCTGCTGAGACGGCTTCTCCCGCCTCACGCGCAGATGGGATTTCCTTTGGAGGCAACCATATACTATTAATTTTTAAAGAGTGATCGTATCACACGTCCAGAACTGCAAAACCCTCCAAACACAGCCTAACATGTGGGTATTTTTTTTTTAATGGACACTTTCTATCTTTTCTAATAAAAATTGTCCTATTCTCAGCCATGCTCTGCCTTCCCTAGGAAGCAGAGATGGGGGTATCTGCTGGGGCCCTCCGGGGTGGTTGGGAGCCTGTCTGTGTGGGCTGAGTTGCGCTGCCCACGACGTCTCTCGGCAAGTGCCCCGGCGCTGCTGTGGTCAGGGGCAGAGAACCGCGGGGTCAGTCTGTCTGGACACTTCCCCAGGGAAGCCCCTGTCCCTGCGGCTGGTCCACATTTCATCATGTTCTCAGTCCTTGGGAGAAAGTCTCTGCGGGGAGACTGGGTCGTCCTGCCCAGGAATGCAGTTCATGAATATTAAAAAGGGGCTTTTATTTTTATTAGAAAAGATAGAAAGTGTCCATTAAAAAAAAAACCCACATGTTAGGCTGGACAACTAAAGCACATTAGGACAGTGTCTCTACTGGGAATGCCGTGACGTGTCCAAAGGCAAGAGGGAGAAAGGGTGGTAAGCGGCCCGTTAGCCCCCATCTCCCCTACGCCCCACCCAGTCCCAGAGGAGCCCTTCCTGAAATGCACGTGACCTGTGGCCGTGGCCCCCGAGGGACCAGGCTCAGCTTCCTCAATCTGCCTGGGACGCTGCCACTGCTTCCGGCTCCTCCTGGGCTCCTGCACCCCCAACTGTGCTGCCCCCCACAGCCCCGATGTCCCTTCAGCTCACGAACGTGGTCGTGGCACCCAGGCAGCCCTTCTCAGACCCATCCCATCCCTTCAGGAGCCTGACGAGTGTCCGTGTTCCAGAAGAGTCTACGCTCTGGATTCTCACCCCGGAGCTGGTGGAGGCTCCCCTTGGCGCCCGGGCACGTCTCCGCCACAGGTGCCTCCCGGGAGGCCGTGAGCTTCCTTAACTGCCTGAGCCCAGACCACGTGCTTTCCGGTGTAGGGACCTTGACTTCCTCTGGGTCCTCAGCACGCAGCACGGGGCCTACGGCAGAGGCAATGTTTAGTCGATGTTTTTAAGCGAGTGCACTATGGTGGAATGACTTAAACATTTCCGTGCTCTGTCAGTGGGGAGAAGCCGGAAGCTGCACGTCCCACAGCCCCCGGCACACTCGGCTGTCTCAGTCCTTCAACAGGGGCCGGGATTCCCGCAGAATTGTCTGATTCCGGGGCTGAGGCGGGAGAGAGGCCTCGAAGTTCCAGGAAATAAGGAGGTGCCCCACCCCCCACAATGACAGTGTAGCCAAAGGCACACAGCAGCCCGCTGGCCAAGCCCTCCATGGCCAAAGCTGGAGCAGCTCGAGCACAAGCTGCAAGTCGCCCAGATTGCGGAATAAACAGCCACGAGTCCGTGGGCAGGTCAGTGAGGGAATAAAGAAGTCGACGTGGGAAATGGGTGACCGTCCCCTCCAGAATTCCAACTGACCAGTGTTTGGACCCCCCTGCCCCCAGACTGGGGTGGGGCCCCGAGCGTGGGCTGTACAGAGTGGCTCCCCCAGCAGCCGAGCACGGAAGGGGGACCGAGAGTGGATGTTCGGAGGACAGATCCGGGGACAGCAACCCCAGCCAGGGGGTCGGGGCCAACACCGACCTGCTGTCAGTCACAGCGACAGTGAGAACCACGAGGGCATGTGCTGACCGAGTGCCTGGCTCTGGGCTCCTCCCCCGGGACCCAGAACCCCGTCTTGTCATGAGCAAAGCTGAGAGCATTTGGCGGAGCGGCGTCCACGGCGTGACCAGCACTCATCAAAGCCATTACGGTCAAAACAGCAGGGAAAGTCTAGAAATGCTCACAGCCCAGAGGGGCCTTGGGAGATGCGATGCTTACTGTCACGTGATGTCATGGGTGGGACCCTCACGAGAAGAAGAAGCACACGTGCAAACTTAAGAAGTTGCACGTGAGGACCTTGGGTAGCAATAGTGTAGACAGACCTGGGGTCCATACCCATGCGAGGTGTTAACAGTGTGGGAAACCGGGTAAGACGTGTCGGCTTGTAATGTTCTTTCAACTTCTCTGTAAATCTAAAACCACCGTAAAATAAGATAGTTTGTTTAAAAAAATGACCTTCCTGAAAACGTTTAAATATTGATTAGAAAATTAGCTAAAACTACACTAAACTCAGAGTATTTGCAAGAAGTTGCCCCTGTCGTGGCCGTGGTGTTCTGACGGTTCTCACAAACGTTTCAGCCAAGACATGACATCCCAGAATGCCCCGGCTCCCTGGGTGTAACCGGGGCTTCCGATCAGAGGCAGGTGGCTCTGGAAGAAACCCAAGGAAGACAGTGTCGTGAGTGTCGCGAGTGTCTCACGTGTCGTGAGTGTCGTGCCTGTCGCGAGTGTAGGAGTCAAATCTTCCAATGCTCCAAGCATGGATTTCCTAGAGAGCTGGGCGCGCTGCTGAGCCTGGGGTCCCTTAATGCTGTTCCCACCAGTGATCATTTCAGCCCCGTTTTTGGCTCAGCCTTGGATGCTGAAAGCGACTCTATTGCATATCTTTCTTCAGGTGTCAGCGTTTTCTACCTGGGAGAAAGAGTTACATAAAATCGTGTTTGATCCACGCTACCTCCTGCTAAACTCGGAGGAGCGGAAGCAGGTAAGGCGGGGGCGAGGCGTGGTGGTGGGTTCCAGACGCGCACACCTGCACGGCCCCCGTCCCCGCCGGGGGATGCTCGCCTGTCGTGTCATGTCGTGTCGTGCCATGTCGTGTGGTCAGAGGGGAGGGAGGGTTGCAGATGGAGTGTACTCGCTTGTGAGCTGGTGGGCGGGAACGGTGACCGGGCCGGGGAAGGTGACCCCTCCCTGTGCCTAGCAGACCATCGGGGGTGACCCCACAGGGAAGACCCTCCCACTCGAGGATGGGGCTACCTGTGCTGGGAACACTGACCACACCCCAGAAGAGTGTGTTAGGGAGACTTACGGTCGTATCTGATAACAAGGAAGGAGAAGACGGCCCAGTGAAGGGAGGAGCAGGGGGAGGGAGGTTCTAGAACGCGGGTCCCCAGAAAGCTCAGGAATGCATCAGAGGATAGTTTCACCTGACGAGTCTGCCCTGGCTTGTTGACAAAGCAGGTCACGGAGCCAGTACTGCTTCCCAGACGAGGCAGACGGACAGAGGGACGGCTGTGCTGACCGCCAGGGGAGGGGCCGAAGCCATGACGTGCGGGCCTGCACAGCTCAGCCAGGGTCTGGTGGGGGAGAGGGTCTCCCCGGAGCCCGGCCAGAAGGGCCCTGGCATCAGTTCCAGAAGATCTGGATGTCCTTGTCTCTGGTTCCCAAGGGAATCCTGTCTCTCCCTCCTGCACACGGAGAGCGGGTCCTCAAGAACAGCCCCTGAAAACAGAGGGGCCTGAGAGTTATTTCAGCGGGGGGCTGGGTCACCACGGTCTGTACGGGGTCAGGAAGGCCCGGGGCCAGGGGGACAGAAAGGGCTCTTTTATCTTCCTTTCTGTCGTGGCGTGAAGTTCCTTCCAGCCCGTGCTGGGATGACCAGGGAAGCGACCAGACAGCCAGGCAGAGCCTCAGGACTGTGGACCCTGATGGTCCCAGAGACGGCAGAGCCCCCGGCTACCCCCACCCCCAGCGCAGTCTAGGCCAGCCCTAGACTGGCCACTTTAGAATACAGACCTTGGACCATTCACGACCTTAGAATTAATGGTCCTTGCACTGCATTCCCCGTGAGCTGTATTTTCCAGAAAGAAACATTTAAAAATGTAGAAAATGTGCTAGCAGTGGCTCCAAAGGAAGAAAGAAAGAAAGAGAAGAGTCACAACAGAGGCGGATGAGATTAGATTATACACATAGAATCCAAAGAAAACTGTGGACGGCAATCACCGATTCTGTCTCACCCTTTTGTTGTAATATTAAGGACCGAAAGTCTGACAACTCGACTCTGAAAACACAGAAGAAGCTTGTTTCTCTGCCGCGGTGAGGAGCGCGCTGGCTCACATCTGCCGACCGTCGGCACATCTGTAGGCAGTCAGGACGGTCCTCTCCAGTTCACAGAGGTGTTTGGAAGGCATTAACCCTTTGGGGGAGGCTGAGGAAGTGAGGCTACCCACCCTTAGAGAAACAGCCCGTTTACGGTTTCAGGCTTTCTTCCTGCCTCTGAGCGAGTGGGGCATAAGGGGCACAGGTGGCTGTGGCGTTGAGCGGTTCCCCCGACCCGGGGCGCGGGGAGCCCACGGAGCTGTCCTTCCAGCCATGGCCAGAGCAGCAGGTGCCGGGCAGGCAGGCTAAGCCTCCTGGGGACCGGGACCCCGGGCCCAGACCTGGATGTGCACCGGAGACCGGTCAGACTGGAATGTCAGCTCACACCAAGTACTCCCTCGGACCCCTGGGAAGCCCCAGGACCCTGCAGGCCTGTGTCGCTAGCCTATAGCTAGGCCATGGAGGCCTGATGAGGAGCAGCAGGAAGCTGCCTTGTGGGCCGCCCAGGCCGGCAGTGCCAGAGAGCTCCCCTGGGGAAGGAAGCAGTATTGGGACCGTCTGAACACCCAATCCTACCTACAAAGGTGTGGGTGCGTTTTTCTGGGGGAGCTGAAGCTCCTGGTGGCCCATCGCCCCCTTGCCGCCACCAGGGCCTATCGGGGAGAAGTGACTAAGCCCAGATTAGGGGTCGGAGGGCACCTCTCAGACCCATTTCCGTGCTAACAGAGAACGTTTCCTTTTTATTACCATAGATTGTGCCGTAAGGAGGTAAGGGCGAGCGGGGCCTCTTTTAAAAAGTCCTGCCCAGCTTCGAATGAAAGTAGCATCATGGGTCGAAGAGGGAAGGAGACCCGCGCGTTGGCTTAGAGCAGCCTCAGCGGAGCAGCAGCCCCAAGGGGAGGAGAGAAATCGGGTTCGCTGGGCTGGTGGTTCCGGCACCAGAGAAGTGGGGTCCCTGCAGTCTCTGGCACCGGAGAAGTGGGGTCCCTGCAGCCTCCGACCCCACAGCCGGGCAGGGTTTCTTCTGTCCAGATTCAAAACGAATAGAAACTCTGACTTGCGACGGAGCCCTGTGCTTCTGTGTGGGTGATGAGCCTGCCTTCGCCTTTTCTAGGAACCTAAATCGTAAGACAGCTGCAGCGTTAGGACACCACAGGCCTTGCTGGTGCGAGGAGCGGACCCTGCTCTTACTTCCACGTACAGGCCCGCCCTTTCGGTTTCCATCCCGCTCCTGGCGCCTCCCGTGGAGGCTGACTCGCCCGGAGGAGAGCGGCTTCCGTTTTCTCAACCCCGTCAGGCTGGTGGTTACCGAGAGAACCGGAGAACGCCCCTGCCGTGGCCATGGGGCGTGTCCCCCTTCCCGCTCTGGGGCAGGTGCGCGGGACACCCCAGAGCCCACGGGTCAGACTCACGCCTGCCGTGGCCAGGGACCGGGCTGGCTCAGGAGTGCTGTGTATTGACCTTCCGTGATCACACGTGCGATCTTCACCATCTTTTTATTTATGTTTGCACACACGTTGGAATTATCTCCAGTGTCTTCTCTCTTAAGCTCTCAGGGCTCTGACAGCACGAGCCTCCTCTAGGCTCGGATGCATAAATGACAACTTGCCACTGTCAGAGCGACGAGCCGCCCGGTCCTGGCGAGGGAGGATCCTCCAGGGGCGGCTGCAGACAGGCTCCACGGCGTCGTGCGGCGTCGTGCGGTTGTGCTGGCAGCTGGCGGTTTGCACGAGCTACAGTCCCAGAGTCACAGGGGCACCTGCCTGCCAGACCACACCCGTCCCTTTAGGCTAGGGAATGTGGTTTTCCCTTTGGCTTAGCTTGCAAAACCCACCTATTGTCAGCCGGGGGCTAGTGCGGCGGCTGAGCATCTGGCCTGCACTCAGGGGGCTTTGCCTAGAGGCTCCTTGACATGCCCAGGAGAGGCCTCCCGTGTCCGCATGCGCCCCCGATGACCAGACCCCCCCGCTCACAGGCGGTCTTCTTGGGGACTGGCGGGTGGGGAACCAGAGATGCCAGGTTGACTCTCCTTTCACGAAGGTAAAATCCTATTTGGAGACCCAAATACCAATTATGTTCCTGAGGAACTGACTAGAACAGACGACACAATCTCACGTGTTACTGGGACTACCAGCGGCGATGTGACTGTCAGCCAGACGGTGTGTGACCGGACAAGCTACTCACAGCCTTCCCAGACCAGAACCACGGGGGCAGCGGGGCCGGGCGTCTGGGACCCTCAGTAGCTCCCGTGGCCTCCGGACAGGGCTGCGCCGCCCATCCCGCACCTGCCCGGGCAGGGCCGATTCGGGGTTTGGCCCCGAGACGGTGCCTCGTGGGGACCCAGGCTTCATCAGGCAGACACTTGTCTCATGACGCTGAGAGCGCCTCCCCGAAGGGCTCCGGCCTCAGCCCCAGCTGCTACGGAGAAGAAGGGCCGAACCACAGACCCTCTGGCCGTCCTTTCGTGCTGTGTTTGAAACCCGAGGTTTCCTTTCTGATGCGCAGCCTCGTAATACCTTTCTTGTGTGTGTGTTTTAAGATATTTGAACAGTTCGTGAAGACAAGGATAAAAGAAGAATACAAGGAGAAGAAAAGCAAACTGCTGCTCGCCAAAGAAGAATTCAAAAAGCTTCTGGAGGAGTCTAAGGTGTCACCCAGGTACGGAGACGAAACAGACGTTGGGAGTCCCCAAGGCTGGACGTTTGCCCGTGACCGCAAGACGGCTCTCACGGTCTGTGTCTGTTAAACCGCACACCCCAGCGGGCCCCAGACACCACGAGTGTGATGGCGGCGACCCCCTGGGGAGGGAAGCCCGCGTCCTCCCTGCCGAGGGGGAGTGAGCCTTCCAGTGGCCACCGTGATCCCTGCCCCCCGCCCCCCACCTGCGCCACGGTCCCTCCGTTCCACTGCCTGGATGCCTGGTTTTCCAGCCTGGCATCCCTGACCCCACGGTCTAAATGATCAGCAGGTCAGCACTTAGAGGGGGGGGTCTTACTTCAGATCTAGGGATCAGAGACTGAACACACAGGCCACGGACAGCAGCAGGAACACGAATCCCCCCAACCCCACTGGCTCCAGACGCCTTACTGGTCGGCTGGGGCGCAGACAGGAGGTGCACTCTCCGGAGTAAATGGGCCTGGTAACATTGTTGCCAAAATGCACCTACAATAACGGACATCACTCTCACGAAATAGAACAAGCCCACAGGGGGTTGACGTCAGAAATTAGAAATGTACGTGGACTTCACTGTTCTTAAAAATTAGTTCCCATTGACTGATATTTAAAAAGTAGTGAATGTATACTACTTCTGAAATTACAGAACTATCACTTTTATAAGCAAAAAGTGATTATGGTTTATTTTCATTTGGGGTTAGGACATTATGTCTAAGTGGACATATATGTGTTAGTATTTTATAATAATCCCTTAGTACAGCATCGTTTTTAAATAGATGTTAACTGATGTTGCTTTCTATGAAGACCTGAGGTCCCATATGTTGTGGGAGATTGTCCAGTTCTCTGGGTCGGTAACTGGATGTTGGGTTCTGACAAAACTGCGGGAGTTTAAAGAGCAGATATTTTCTGAACGGGAGAAAATGTAGCCTGAATGATCCCCGTCACAAAATGCTAATCCAGAAAAGCAACTGTGCATCTAGACATTCATAATTGTGCTTTTCTACCATTAGAGATGAGAACACCAGCTTTTCTGTGTCCCCCACATGGTGACCCTAGGAGAGAGGAGATGATCTGGAGCCCCTGTCTCTGGGCACAGCCTGCTCAGGCCCTCCTCAGTGCGGCAGTGGGTGAAGCATCACACGTTTCTGAGCTTCTGGTCTCAGGTCTCATCTGCAGGCAACACAGCTCCAGGAGGCTCCCTGCAGGGTGCAGGCAGGGAAGCAAACTGTGCCTGGTACCTGAAAGAAGCTTGGTGAAAGGGAGCCCATCATCACCATCACCACCACCACCACCACCACCACCACCATCACCACCACCATCATCACCACCATCACCACCACCATCAACATCACCATCACCACCACCATCACCATCACCACCACATCATCACTATCACCATCACCACCACCACCATCACCACCACCATCACCACCATCTCTACCATCACCACCACCACCATCACCACCACCATCACCACCATCTCTACCATCACCACCACCATCACCACCATCAGCATCACTACCACCAACATCATCACCATCACCATCACCAACATCACCAGCATCATCACCACCACCATGTTCATCACCATCATTACCATCACCAACATCATCATCAGGAACTTTTACATAATATTCTTGATCTTTCCATTGGTGAAATGTTAACAATAAGCCAACACATTTCTCCTCCTCTTATGAAAACAAAGGAGAAAATATTCAGAATGCATTAAGCAATTAGGAGAATAATCACACACACACACACACACACACACACACACACACACACACAGGGAAAATGAGTGACTCTGGTGCATATGTCCTTTTCTTCCTGCCGCTCCCTGGGTGTTCTAGTAGAAGATGTGCAGTTTGAGTCGCTGCACGCTGGATGGCCAGGTGAGCTCAACATGGACCATCTGAGCATCCCTCAGGCAGCCTCTCAGTGCTTCTTAGCTCTGGCCCTGTCCCCACAGCCAAACAAAGAGCCAGAGCCAGCCCCCTGCCCAGCTCTCGGGGTCTTGGGATGGATGGGGCTGGGAGCCACAGGGGGCCTCTCCTTGGGCTGCTGGTGAGGCTATGGGATCTGTACTCTGTGCTCCTTCTGGGAGGTCATAGTGGCCCCCTCTGTCTCTGTACATGTGGGCTGTGTCCCCAGCTTCCAGAGGGAAAATGAGGATGCTATGTCCATGACCCAGAGCATTCCCCAGGCCCACTGGATGGTTCACCAGGGCCAGCAGAAGCCAGGCTATCCCCTCCGGCATGGCTGTGGGGCCACAGATTTGTAAGTTTCCCTTTCTTTCCAGGGACACTTCTTTTTGGAAGTGCCCAGAGTAAGGCCTTGCAGACAGGATCTCTTCCTGTCCCCTAACTGGGAATTGCTTAGACTGCTACCCACACAAGTGAAGAAAGTAACAAACCCTGTGATTTTCATCTTGGAGGGAAGAAAGGAAAAAGGGTCTTAGCTCATTTGGACTGCTTAACAAATTACCACAAACCAGGCAACACAGAATTCTTTCTCATAGTTCTGGGGGCTGGGAGTCCGAGATCAGGGCTCCAGGGCTGTGGGGTCAGGTGAGACCCATTCTGGCTCGTAGACAACTGTCTTGCCTCTGTGTCCCCACATGGGGAAGGAGCAGGGGGCAACCTGGGCTCCCTTTTACAAGGGCAGTGAGCCCATCATGGGGCTCCACCGTCATCCCAAAGGCCCCACTTTCTGGTACCAGCACCCGGGGGTTAGGAGAGGTCAATATATGATTCTGTGGGACATGGAACTTCCATCCACAGCAAGGAGGAAAGAGGGAAGAAGGGTGGAGAGCACCAGAGAGAAGGGGTTTCTTTCTGAGAAGCCCCTGAGCAGGCAGGACCCCAGGGCATGACCAGGGACCCAGCGGTACTTGAGGAAGAAGAGGGGGGCTGGTAACCGCAGGGGATGAACCCGGGTCCTAACAGCCCCATCTGTGTGATGCTGTTGTTCGTGTACAGAAAAGCTATTGCACTATAATCATTCAGTACAACAATTTGACGTCTGCAGCAGAATACAGGGTTCTCTGCAAGGAGAAATGGGGGAGCCAGAGGGTGCCCTGGACTGAGCATGAGCATCCCAGCTGCCTCCTGCCGCTCAGCCCCGCCCCCAATACCTGTTCCGCTGTGAGCTCAGGCCTGGGGGGAGGGGAGCCGTAGGACCCCAAGCTCCGCAAGGTGCCCTTTGCTCCTGCAAGGGAGTCCCGTTTGCCCTGTGAGCCTCCCCAGACCCCGTGTTGGTCTCCCTGGCTCCGCAGCCCTGGAGCCGCTTGGTTGATACGTGGGGACATCCACACACGGTCCCTGGGCCAGACATTCGGGACCTTCAGTGGGAAACGCAGAGGATAACGATGCTGCCCGTGGAGTGGGGGCAGGGGCGGAGTAAGTGACAAAGGTAGGGCTTACCGTGGTTGTGACCATGGCAAGGGCCAGGAAGGATCCTGAGTGTAGGGCGAGGCTCCCCAAACAAGCCACGCTGCCTTCCAGTGGTGACCAGTTCCAAGCAAGGACAGGCGCGCGGGGCCCAGGGCCAGCAAGAGTGGCCTGGGGCAGCCAGGAGACCAAAAGAGCCACGGACAGGAGGGGACCCTGGCAGCCATGGCAGTGGTGGGCGCAGGTGGGCGGTGGCCAGCTCTGAGGGACAGAGGCCAGAGGCTGGTGAGACGGAGCCATAGCAGGGTTCAGGGGATCAGGTCCCTGCCAGTCCCTCCAGGGGGAGTGACACCCAGCACGGGAGCAGGTGGGGCATGGGTGAGAGGCCATAGTTACAGCCTTCAGTCCATTACCTGCCCCACGTCCTGCCAGGGTTCCCCAACATGCCGCAGGTCCCACCCCTGTCCCCGACCTTCCCCACATTCTGCCCCTGTCCCCAAACTGCCCCATGTCCTGTCCATGTCCCCAACCTGCCCCATATCCTGCCAGGGTTCCCCAACATGCCGCAGGTCCCGGCCCTGTCCCCCACCTGCCCCACATCCCGTCCCTGCTCCATATCCCGCCCCTGTCCCCAAACTGCCCAATATCCTGCCCCGTCCCCAAACTGCCCCACGTCCTGCCCCTCCCCATGGCCTGCCCCATGTCCTGTCCCCGTACCCCTGGCCCCCCACCCCGTCTACCTCATGTCCTTTCCCTGTGGCCGGATGACAGCCAGGTCTGGTGAAAGGGCTGTCCACCCCCAGGCGATGCCAAGAAACGTCACACCCACCCCCAGGGCAGCGGTTTCTCAGGAAAGCTCTTGTTTTTCAGGACCACATTCAAGGAGTTTGCGGAGAAGTACGGCCGGGATCAAAGGTTTCGACTTGTTCAAAAAAAGAAGGACCAGGAGCATTTTTTCAACCAATTCATCCTTATCCTTAAGAAACGGGACAAGGAAAACAGACTCAGGCTACGGAGAATGAGATGAGTGTGGAAGCAGCGCGACAAGCCAGGTGCGGGGCGGTGTGGGGCGCGGGGCGCGGGCTGCTCTCCGAGGGTTACTGTTTCATATTGAAGCTCTTTTGTACGACATTCCGAGTTTGACGCATTTCTAATTGCCGTGGTAGGTCGCTCCCTTAGTTGTTTTAATTATGCAAATTCCTTGTAATATATACAAATTATAAATCTGCTGCGGGTTTGTAACTCAGCAGAAACATCTATAACCGTCTCCAGGCGTTTTCATGAGTTGAGCCGATTATCTGAAACTTTTCTGGAAACCTTCGTGCGTCCTCGATGCCGAGCTCCTTCCGCGAGTGTGCTGGGTCTTGGTGCCGTGTTCTGAGTAGTAGCCGTAGGACATTCATCACCAATCATAGTGACGACCGTGAGCATCTCTGCACGTGGACCCTGGGCCCCTGCAGGAGTCGACAGGCATCGCCTTGTCCCCGAGGGGGTGCCGGGCCCGGAGAGGGCGGCTGCGCTGCCAGAGGTCCTACTTAAAATGGAATTATTTTGTACAAAATCATCATATTAATATTTGAGTTATTTTTATTGTAAGCCCAGAGTTTGCATGAGATTTTTCTCATCATCTTTGTATAAAAAGAATTTTAAATTTTTTTTAATTAATAAATATTTTAAACCAGTGTGGCTTTGTGGTAAGACTTCTCACACAATCTTCGGAGGCAGAAATGTATTTCAGCGAAGACACTGTGTCTTGAAAGATTCGTGAAAACGTTGGTGCGTCCGTACAAAGGCTGAGGAGAGCGCAAACGAAAATCTTGCTTTTTAGGCCCTGGGCCTGGGAGGAGCCGTGTCGGCAACAGCCCAGCTAAGGTGCTCTCCTAATCGTTCTGTGTTTATCACATGGTTCACGGAGCCTCTCTTCGGAGGGGCTGCAGGTGTCCCCACGCACGGGGACACCCATCCTCGCCCGCCCAGTCAGTTCCACCACACGTATTAGGACAAAACTGGTCACGGCGGGTCTCTGGGCTCGGCACCAGTGCGGTGAGCATAGCTCCCATGTTGGTTCCGGGATCTGGGTTCTGGGGACATTGCTCAGGTCCAGCCGGGACGCCGTGGCTTGGACACCCAGGGCGTGAGCAGGAGGCCTACGCCAGGAGGCAGACGCTCCCTGAGGGTCCGGAAGTAGAGACGGCCTTGTAAACTGAACAGAGAGTTTTTAATGTTATTTGTTTATTTATCTTCATTTCTTTATTCCTTTGGTGGGCAGCAAAGCCAGGCTTACTCAGTGTCAGTGAAGCAGAGCCCGCTGAGGGGGTAGTACAAAGCTCCCAGAGAGGGAGGGGGCTGGAGAGGTCGCCCAGAACACAGCAATTTAATGGAGAGAATTATTAGGCTAGAGTGCGGCCCTGGAGTAATGCGGCTAGTGAGCACAGGTACTCCGGAGGACCGGGGAGTAACAGCCATCACCCCCAGGGCTCAGAGCGGCGCCTGCAGGGGAGCAGGTGGGGCAGGTGTGGGCCCCCTGCCCCCCTGAGCCGTGCGGAGCTGGGAGCTCGCTGGAGAGCTGCGGCCGTGGCTCCGGGAGGGCTGGAACCCACCCCCACAGCGTGCCGGGGCGTCTCTCGTGGGGCGGCGGCGTGCTGGACACGCTCTGCCCAGCAGCACCCCGAGAGATGTCAGGTGGGGGGGCTGCTGGCTGTGCGGGGCTCGGCACGGGGAGCCGGGAAAGAGACGGAGCGGGGGCTTCCGGCCACTGTGAGGTTCGCACGTCCGTGCCCCTGCGGCCTTCTGGACTGTCCGCTCGAGAACCAGTTGACTTGCCGCTGGCCCTGGTGGGGACTCGCTGCCTGGCAGCCAGCACAGAATGATGGCACCTGCCCCACAGCCCTGAGCGCTCGCTGGACCCACCTGGCGTGAAGTGGACCCGCGCGGCGGCGATGAGCGGAAGATGGGGACGATGTGGGCAAGACCGGCTCGTGTAGTTCTCGAAGGCGTCTGGGGCCCCGTGCTCCCTCGGCACCTTGCTCCCTGGCTGATGCCCGTCCCTGCTGCCCGCAGACTCCTCGTCATCCGTCAGCTGAGGGCGAGAGCCGCGGCCTGGCGGAGGGGTCACACGTCCTGCTGTGCTGGCTGCAGCCCACCCTCCCCAGTCAGGCGTGGCCCCTGAGAGCAGGTGGACGCACGTCTCTCTGGGGCAGAGCATGAGCTCTCCTGAAGGACAGTCCTGTTAACTTCCCTGGGAGAGGACGGATCCCCACTGATCTGCGGGCTGGGCAGGGCGGCCCACTGGTGGCGGGGTTTGGAAGGCACACGATCGGGACATGGGCGATAGAGAGGATAGGGGAGCATGGGTGGGCACAGAGCTGGGAGTCCACACGCCCCAGACACTTCCTACGAAGCCGGGCCAGTGTCTCCCTCACCACTGGTTCTTGCTCAGTGTCCCACACGGAGCCCTTTCCCTGGTTCCTCCCATGACGTCCTCTCACTGTTAATGGGGAGCAATTCACCTTCACAAAAATGAATCTCTCAGAGGCCGATTCTCCTTCCCTCCCATGACCACAGTCCATGCCCTTGCGGAATGGCTTATGTACTGCACAACTTCCCACGAAGCTCCTTCTCGACCAAGACCTTCAGTGTAAGCGATAGAAAATGCCACCTGTAGGCTCGTGGCCACCAAATTCACTGGCCCTCCCCTGCTGAAGGCACAGTGCCATCGGTGGCACCAGGCCCTGTGAGGGGGGTGGTGTCCTGTAGGGGCGTCACCTGCTGGCTTCAAACCAGCTATCTCCCTGGAATCACGGTGCTTGACGCTGGTCACCAAAAAGGGGACGTGGGAGTGGCCCCCTCATTATTGTACTCAATAACCCTCGTCCCGACTACCCCAGGCTTGGTGAACTTGGAAACCTTGTTGCTCCAGGGCAGGACCCACCACCTTGGTCCGGTTTACAGAAGCTGGGATCCTGGCCCTTCCAACTCCTCATGGCGCTGAGCCGCCGGGGAGAGAAGGTGGTGGCTGTGCATGCTGGGCCGTCATCCCAATTCTTGAAGGGAAGTTATGCTTTTGGTATCTCATGGGGATGGCGAGACAGTGTCAGGAACCCAGGGGGCTCCCCGGGCACCTGGAGTACCACTCCGCCCACAGCTGGGGCTACCAAAGACCAAGGGCTGGTGGGGAGAAGGCTGAGGTCTGCAGTGCCAGGAGGGGTTGGGGGACATGGGGTGGTGGGCCGACGGCACGATCCCAGCTCGGGTCCCATGACTCTCTGGAAGCAGAGGTCGCAGCGCCCTATTCTCACGTGGATTTTTCTCTCCCTTCCTTGCTCCTGTTACGTCACGTGGTCCGTGACTGTTGTAGCTGCTGGGTTTCAGACACACGACTGAGTTAATGAGCCTCGCCTTGTGAAGACGGGAACTGGTGAGATGGTCGGCCACGCTGGGGCCACAATGTGGTCATCACCCATGACAGCGAGAGCTCTGCAGGGCCCCGGGGCGGACTCTCTCCCTGACACCCTCCCCCTGCTTGGTGGCCCCGGAGCCCGTGCACAGCACGTCCGTCAAGCTTCCTTCCTGGGGCTCAGCCTAGGAGGGTGCGGCCTAGCTCGGGGGCTGAGGGGCCCTCCTGCAGCCACAGCTTCCACCCAGGCTCCTGTCCTCCTCCTTCAGGCCCGCGGGAGGTGGCCCCCGCACAGCTTTGTCCCGGGCACGCGGCATTGAGTGCTGACCCGGGATCTGGTCCTGCGATCCTAATGGCCGTGTGGACTCTGCTCGGTCACTCCGACCCCGGGCCGTCCGTGTGCTTGCTGTCAGCTCGACTTAGTCACGACCATCACCGCTACCATCCCCAGACTCCAAGAGTAGTCGATCCAGACGCGGATTACCCCAGAAACGGGATCAGCAGGAGGACAGGGGATCATGCGGTCCACACCTTGGTGCCGGAGGAAGGTGGAAAACAGCCATACCTTGGTGCTCAGAGACGCACAGGCAGCCGTCCGCCTCGACGGAGAGTTCCAGACACTCACCCAATGTTTGGGAATTTCCATTTCAGTTCATAGAACTGTGATTTGGAATCTAAGAAAATTAGATTATTAAAAATCGTAGACAGATGATCCGTCGACATCCACGGTCACGTTCGTCTCTCTCCCTCCGGCCGTCAGCCGGCAAGCTGTCGGAGGTGGCAGGTCAGCTGTGGCGTCATCAGGGATAAGACCCAGAACCAGCTGGTGTCTGCGTGTGTGTTTCAAACACTTGCCACCCGGAAGGCTGCCGACGTCATTCATTTCTTAAGTCTCCCCCGTGAATTTATGACATTATAGAAGGACAGCAGACTAAGATGTCTTTTAAAGGGTAGTTCTGCTTCCTTTTTTCGCATTTACCTTTCCTCTGAAATGCCACCAGGTAACTTGGGTTAACACCATCGTGACCTCTGAGCTGCTGAAGTCCAGCAGGAAACTCGGAACCTGTCCATCAGCTGCGTCCAGATCAAACCGCAAACGCAGGAGTGACGGGTCCTTCGGTCCCTGTATCAGGCCTCCGTGTCCCAGAGGCCACAGCCTCCCAGTCTGTGTCCCACCTGAGTCCTCACCCCAGCTGCCAGGGCACGTCTGACCAACCTGTCCCTTTCCCTGCCTCCCCAAGCACCAGGCAGCCAATCCCCGTCTTCTGGACCGAGCCCCGCCCAGCTCTCCCGCCCACACCGGCACGGCAGCCCCGGGGCCCTGGGCGGCGAGTCCTTCCGCGATGACCTGTCTTCCTCCCCACCTGACTGTGTGCAACGCCTTCTTGGTGATGCCACGCCTGTCACCGCCTCCGCCAGGGAGACCTTCTGGCCCGGGACGGAGGTCCCTCTGAGAGCTCAGCCCCTCAGCCCTGTGGGGGTTCCTCAGAAGGGGCCGGGCTCCGGGCAGCACTGATCCAGCTGGAGCTCGTGAGTCAGAAAAGAGGAGAAATCCAAGCGGACTCATTCCGGCTGGTTTCCTCACCGGCGGCTGTGTGACGATTCCTCCTCTGCATTTGCTCGAGGCTTATCCCCTTCCTAAGTGTGTGGTCCCTCCT